AGGACATTACATCTCAGAGACAATGCCATCCAAACCAACGTAATTAGCCGGAGAGAGAGAAAGAGAGAGAGAGAGAGAGAGAGAGAGAGAGAGAGAGAGAGAGAGAGAGAGAGAGCTTCGGGCAAGCTGACTTGAAGCAGCTGACACGAAGCAGCTGACCCAGAGCAGACCCAAAGCTGGCCCCAGCTGACCCGAAGGGCCTAGCCCGATACGAAGCACCTGACACAAAACAGACCTGAAGCTGATTTATTTCTTGTAATAAGCACAAGAGAGAGAGAGAGAGAGAGAGAGAGAGAGAGAGAGAGAGAGAGAGAGAGAGCTTCGGGCACCAGAGGTTTGGGTCCGATAAAGGGGGACTTTTCTTGCACTTGGACCGAAGAAGGCCTTGGCACCTTTATTGGACCCGAACCTCTAGTGGTGCCGTTTTAGGCCTGACCTCCAGCGCAATCTCCTCACTCAGCTCCTCCAGACCTGGACGCGTTGTTTTAAACCTTTTAGGACTTAGTGGTTTAATCAGACACCTAAATGGTTTAAACCTGATGGCATATTAAACTTTAGACCATCAGATAAGGGCATACTCACACTACCGTCTGCACCCGAATAGAACGCCCGGTCATTATAGCTGTATTCGGTGCAGCTTGCAGCCCGGATAAGGCAATAATGATGGGGCGTTCTATTCGGGTGAAGAAACTAGGACTATATATGGACATAATTGCGGTCAGATACATACAGGTCCGGCCGTAGATTGCAGTCAGATACATTCAAGATGGAGCTAGTGTGAGTACGCTCTAAGGATCAGTGTCTCAAGCCACCATATGCTTGGATGCTCTTTTTTTTTTTTTTTTTTTTTTTTTTTTTTTTTTTTTTTTAACGAGTCTAATCTGTAAAGTTGAAGCCCTTGGTTTAAACCATATGCCCATTTAAACCACAACTTCTTGGTATTGATGGTTAAAATGGAGCCATGGTTTTCCGGTTGCTATATACAATCATGAGGACATTCTACTGCCTGATTGCCCCTGCAGTTTTTTAGGGCCATGGCTTTCCTGCTGCTGTATAGAATCACGGGGACACTTTACCGGCCGATTGCCCCTGTGGTGGTTTATTTTAGAACAAAAACAAAAACTAAAGGAAAAGGAAAGTGGTGGTTGTGACTGTTTGTGTGGCCAAATGGGGACATTGGATGCGACAAGATCGTTGCATTGCTTATCACACAAACCTACTGATCTTGCATTTGACATCCCTCTCACCATTCCAACTCTCTCTCTCTCTCTCTCTCTCTCTCTCTCTCTCTCTCTCTCTCTCTCTCTCTCTCT